TATCAGAGTTCTGCATAGGACGGAAAAAGGGGCCGATCTCCTCGCAGCCCGGGCTAGCCGCAGTTTGCGATAAGGCGAACATGATACCTTTCTGCCTGGAGCCCGTCACACTGCGGAGCGCCTGTAACACCGCGGCGCGGCCTGTAACATCATGAGAAACTGCGGCTGCTGCGAGGCAGTGGGAGCCGAATGCGAGCATCGCCGCTATACTGCGTTCGCGATTACGTACATCTTCGCTGCTGAGTATCGAACGCTAAGCGGCCGCGTGGTCTCGTCGCCGCGCTCCTCATTCCATTTCTTCCATTCATTCTATTTTTTACTTATATATATTAATTATGTAACTATTGCACGATTTCAACTATTAAATGCATGGGAAAGTATGACATATTTATGTACATAAAAAATTCAAAACGTGAAGGGCTTTAGAAGCGTTATGTTAATTCCAGCAATTAATCTAAAATACTTTTGCATTAAACGAAATCTATAATTTTATGTATTGTAATATGTATAATGGTATTAAATAAAATGTACATAAATATTGTAAATATTGTATATACTGTAAGTATTGTAAATAGTGTATATACGTATGTATAGTGTTCAAAACATATATAACATAAATAGACTCGTATATGAAGTATGAAATTACATTTATAATACTTCATTTTCCTTATTACATTTCCTTTCATCTAATTTCCTGCATATGTCATACTAAAATAAATATGTCATACTTTCCCATGCATTTAATAGTTGAAATCGTGCAATAGTTACATAATTAATATATATAAGTAAAAAATAGAATGAATGGAAGAAATGGAATGAGGAGCGGCCGCTTAGCGTTCGATACTCAGCAGCGAAGATGTACGTAATCGCGAACGCAGTATAGCGGCGATGCTCGCATTCGGCTCCCACTGCCTCGCAGCAGCCGCAGTTTCTCATGATGTTACAGGCCGCGCCGCGGTGTTACAGGCGCTCCGCAGTGTGACGGGCTCCAGGCAGAAAGGTATCATGTTCGCCTTATCGCAAACTGCGGCTAGCCCGGGCTGCGAGGAGATCGGCCCCTTTTTCCGTCCTATGCAGAACTCTTATTCGAACCCATATACACCTATATGAGTACTGCGCATGCGTCGGTAGAGAGAAAGAGGTAGTCATTCTCGTGTTCCTCTCTCTTTCTATTTGCGACTCACGTTTGCGGTTGGCTTCTGTACTCTATGTATACTATCTCTCTGAGGATCACTATTTTTTGGGATGCACGTGGCGCCATCTAGCGCCTACGACCGCGAACTCGCTTGGCTCCAATATCTGCGGCAAAATCGTTTGAGGTCAGTGTACATACAATAATATCATCGGATCAAAAGGATTTATCTAGATTCATCGTTGCGGTACTGCATACGTGCACAAATGAAATGTGAATTCCCGAAAAATTAATCGACCAACGATTTTAATTGTTGAATTCTTTCGTTTTTAGTAAAATTTCATAGTTAGACAGCAAACATGCTTGCATCGTTCACAAAGAGAAACGTGTTGCAACAACTGTTTCAAGTATGCCGTTGTGGGTCTACCTCTAGGTTAGTCGATTTATTAATTTCACATAGCATTGATAATACGAGATGACAAAAGCTCAGAACATTACTCTTACCCCTCCGCGTTCCGAATATTTTTCTTCCTTAACGATGAGTTAGACGAAATTGCACGAACAACTACTTGCAGCACAGAATCATGCAACACGTTCGATCTGGTCATCGTCGGAGGTGGTATCGTCGGTTGCGCCACTGCTCGAGAGATGTTAAAGAGACACCCGGGGTTGAAAATGGCAATCGTCGAAAAAGAGAATGCCATCGCGAGGCATCAGACAGGGCACAACAGCGGCGTCATCCACGCCGGCATTTATTACAAGCCAGGCTCTCTAAAAGTAAAGATCCACCTGCAATCGCCTTTTAACACGCTTGCTCTTCTTCCCTTGCCTTGCCTTGCCTCTGCGAGAAATAGATGTTCCGATACGTTTCCGAGTCTCGTAGTACGATAGAATAACGCTTCGTTAAGAGATTTTTGATCCGGCAGGAAATAATTGCAGGCAAAACTGTGCGTGGAAGGCTCAAAACTAGTCTACGACTATTTATGCAAGAAGGATATTCCCCACAAAAAAGTTGGAAAACTCATAGTAGCTCAGAACAAAGAGCAGGCCAAAAGATTAGATGACTTGTACAGTAGGGGAATTGAAAATAATGTGCCGGATCTGCAGATGGTCGAGAAAGATTGTATATCGAAATACGAAGCTAAATGTCTAGTACTAGATCTTTTGCTTGTTATAAGACGACGAAATGAAAATGACGGGAGATACAAAGAGGGTTGTACTTGTTGCACAGGGTGAAAGAGCATTGTGGTCTCCGTGGACGGGTATAGTAGATTGGGCGTTAGTTTGCAATCATTTTGCCAAAGATTTCGAGGAAATGGGTGGGAAGATATATGTAAATTACGAAGTCACCGGGTTCACGCAGATGTCCCAATGCAATGAGAAACAAGAATTGACTCCGATTTTGATTAATTCCAAGAACAAAGTACGTCCGAAACATCGTTGCTTCTTCGTTCACTTAGGGCTCAACATTTTTATCTATATTTTGTCATCGCAGTGTATACCTGCGAAATACGTTTTAACTTGCGCCGGACTGCATTCGGATCGCCTAGCAGTAATGACGGGATGCGACGTCAGTCCACGAATCATTCCGTTTCGAGGAGAATACATGCTACTGGTTGAGGATAAAAAGCATTTATGTACGACGAATATATATCCCGTCCCAGATCCCAGGTTTCCATTCTTGGGTGTTCATTTCACGCCTAAGATCAATGGTGAAATATACCTTGGCCCGAACGCGGTGCTAGCACTGTCAAGAGAAGGTTACCGGTACCTAAATTAATTGTACGAACGTTGCGATCAAATAATCGAACGCCCGAATAATTATCTTGTTCTTCAGGTGGTGCGACATAAACGTTAAAGACTGTATAGAAATGATAAAATTTCCTGGCCTGTACAAGTTCGTTTTCAAATATTTTATACCGGGATGTAAGGAAATGATTACATCGATCTTTTATCCACTCGCGGTTAGAGATTTAAAGAAATTCATTCCCGAGGTCACGTGGAGGGATGTAAAAAGGTAAATGTGGCAACGCCTCCACGGATGCGTAACGATAATGAAATGTACGACATTTTTAAAGGGGACCGGCGGGTGTCAGAGCACAGGCAATGAACAGCGATGGTAGCTTGGTGGACGATTTTGTTTTCGATTCAGGAAAGGGTGCCGTCGGTCAGAGAGTGATCCATTGCCGTAACGCGCCGTCCCCCGCTGCTACCAGCAGTATGGCAATCGGCAAGTACATTGCGGATAAGTTAGAGAAGGATTTCAAGTTCTAACGACTCTAGCGATTAGACAGATGGGTATAAAATTTGTTACGATAACACCGACGAGAATAATCTGGTTCAGGAGTGCCTCGCTCGAGAGTAATCCTCATAGATGATTTTGCAATAAAATTATACAACTTTTATTTTTATCACTATTATCATGACAAACAGGGCGATAAAATCGAAGGGAATAGGCCAACGAGAAGACATCGATTATGAGACTGATATAAAAATATATTTTATAGTCGCTCGTCAACGCAATAACGTTCGTATGAAACTGCGGAGTTAAATTATTCTCAGTTTCATTCCCGATATCATTAGACGGGAACTGGCAAAATCCCAAGCTGCGGTCGAATGAAATCCCATGTTCGATAGTACGACTCCGTATTCGCTCAACGCAAACATGGAGTAAACTGTAACAAAGCGGCGTTACATTATAAATAATATTGATGATCCGCTTCCCTTTCTCGAGGATCGACTCGCTCACCTAATGGCTCGCAATACTTGTTGTGCCTGTAAAAGAAGTAGCAGGCAAGAAGTATACACAACACATTCGTCATCATAGTTCTCCGCTTCCATTGTAAAGAAGCAGCTTCCGAAGATTCCTTGGTGACATTGCGGCAATTCCTCATAATAAAATATGCAACGAGCATATGAACGAAAGACATTATTAGAAACGTTATGAACGAAAATTTATGGAATGCTGAAAAACGGTAACATGATCGTTTGTTTCTATCGCTTCTCGTGTCTCTATTTCTTAGCGTATCTCTATACGCACCATAATTCTCGTCCGAAGTCCAGAAGCTCAATGTTACCAAAGATATGTTTTCAATGGCATAGGTAATTGTTGCCACGTTACAAATGCTCTGTGCCCATTTATAAACATACTCTTTGTAATAACGGCGGTACATTATCCATACCAAAAATCTTATCGCTGCTTGCGTGGCAATAGCACCTTTCCATACATCTTTTTGTGGCCTGAAATGTCCAATTGCGGCAGAGACAGATGGCAAAAAGTTATAAACCTGACACAAACAATTACGTCTCTATTGGAGCACGTTCTGTTTACATGCACGAGTTTAATCAGACGTTGATTCATCCAGTCGAAAAATGTATGAAATACCTTGCAATGCGTCGAAGTAGAATGCTCGAAATTGTAGACGACGGACCAAACAACGCAAAAGATAAATGCTAGAAATGGTAGGGACACGGTGAACCATGCCACTTTGGCGAAAGGCAGAACGAGCCGCGTTCTCGGCATGTCGTCTTCCACTAACGGAATATAATCTGACCCTATCCTAGCCTTGTTCATCGTGTTATATTCTGGATTGTATTTTACGTCATCGCAAACGAGTCTGATACTCCTAATAGGCTAAACCATAAAACGTTCTATTGGCACGCGTAACGCGCGTTCCGATCGTTCTTGCGCCCCGACAAGAATCATATCGCAACGAACGGTGCTCGCCCAAAATTTAATCAAACAATTCGAAGCATCGAGAGTCCCGGTTTGTTTTAACACCAACATTTTTTTAGCTGAAGTATCGAGGAACTTGCACTATCATTCTCGCAAAATCGACAGTGACACGATACAGACAGAGAGAAACTAAGAGTGCTCACTCACTGCTCATGCCTTTGTTCTCTCGTGAGACCGCTTCGAAAGTGCTGCACCTTGCGACCAGTTCGGGAAGAGGCTCCACCGTAGCATATGCCAGAACCTTTTTAGGAGAAATCTACCGTGTTCAGTTCCACCGTAGCGGAGACAAGAACCTCCAGTTCCACCGTAGCGGAGACAAGAATCAAATGGACATGGACGTCCACCGCAGCATAGAAGTCGTTCGGCCGAGCGGTAGCCGCGATAGCCACGACGATACGTATTTTGTAATAAATGAAGAATACGTTTATATTGATTTAATTTGTATATTTTATTC